CCAGATAAATCTATGGTAATACTTGAAAACTACAGGAGGACCGCACTTCACACAAAACTAATCTGATAAAGCCGACAAGACAATATACACCGACTTTAATGTCGTGATGTCGGGTAAAAATGTCGTGATGTCGGGTAAAAATGGGTAAAAATGTCGTGATGTCGGGTGAAAATGTCGTGGTGTCGGGTTGTCGTGATGTCGGGTAGAAATGTCGTGATGTCGGGTTGTCGGGTTGTCGCGTTATGAAATGCGACACCACGACATTACGACATGATACCAATCAGCCACCATAGTTTTGCGAATTCTTCTGTTGGTTCAATGAAAAATCTCCCTCCGTGAATTTGAAAATTTATGGGGCGCCCCCCCCCCCCCCACCCCCTCATGGAAAAATTCGGCGCCCTTTCTATCGGACTGGACGCAATACGAAGACAACGACAAATGTTCCCATATCAGTATGGGCGCCACATAAAGGCGAGTGACACTGGTTGCCCGCCCACGACGAAATTGGTGGGGCGCCTAACCAATGTCACTTGGTTTTATGGGCGCCTCGACAATCATGTCGTTATATATGAGGCGCCCCTCAAATGGTTAGGCGCCTCATAATATCTCACACGATTAAAGTCGTATTCCTTCCTTCAAATTTGTATTATGTTCATATCAAAATATCATAATACGCCAATATCGCAAATTCATCCTCAAAATGAAATTTTCCGTCATTTTCAGGTGCAAATCCCATTTTCCAATACTTTCTGGGGGAGAGCACCAAGTGTAGGTATATCAGCGCCTCCAGAAGCCTCATCGCCCCCCCCCCCCCCCGCCAACAATTTTGGGCTGGCTACGGGCCTGCCGCCATTATCTACCTACCATATCCAAAATAATATAATATATGAAATCGAAAACATTTTGGATGATTTGTAGAATGTCCATATTTAAAACACATTTCCCCTTGACAAACAATCTATCTTGTCGGTTACTTCCGAAAACTGAAGCTAACTTGAATTTGAGTTTTGTACATTTATGAAATATGATATGACTTTATCATATGATTTACATGTATATCACATTTATGAAGTACGATATAAAAGTCATAACTTTCATAACAAACTGAAATATATCTTTAAAAATGTTCGTGAACTTTAATAAACTAATTGGTTTTTGTTACAAAGTTAACTCATAATTATAACTCAAAAAAAGATGGAAAAAGACTTTGTGAATTGTAAATAAATCTTTTCATTTATATCCAAGTTAGGCATGCTATTGTATTTCTTTAACAGGTTATTAAAGTGAAATATAATAAGCGATTAAATATCACTGCATTCTTTGTCCAAAGCGTAATAATTTAACTGTAACAAACAGAAAATGTCTTCTAAAATCCCTTAAATCAACATTAAAGAACAAATTATAATAGCAGGAATGTCACATGTTTTCTTTTAAATTTGCACAATCTGATTAAAATACAGATCTATATTTCGTTGGTTTTTTTATACTTTCGATGGCCAACACTACATGAAGATGTGACAAGTTGTACTCGGAGGTCGTATCAGGGGTCGTACGAGCGGGTTTTGACCCTATGACGACAGACATTGATTAATCAACCAGCGTTGACGTTTCTAGTGGTTTATACACAGTTCCGTGCATCAACAGGTCAAGAACTCGCCGTAACAGACCGTTTCATTGGCTTATACCCCACTTCAACCAAAACGTCGGTAATATAACAACTCTTCCATATCCTAGTATAGATTGAAATTTGCAATGCAGTTTTTTACATATAATAGTTAAAAATGTCGAAGTAAATGCATCAAGTTACAAAAAAATACACGAGAGTCTTCAATTGTTGACGGCAATACTATATCATGTCTTGATATTCCTGTCAGCAACTCGATTATTTCAAGAAAATGTGTATCACATCCAAACAGTGGAAAATTCGTGCTGTATTCATTGGATATTTCTTCCAGCGTCTGCAAACTACAAGGTAGAGGAAATGCATGATCGACTGTATTATATATCTCTGGCATATGGTACAAGATATCAGGGACTCCGGTTGGCTCAACATTACCTTGACGTCTTATTCTATGGCTATTCCAAACAACTGTAAATGTGTCTAATTGTTGTTGTAAAACACCTAGAAGACAAAATCGGATGCACTGGACGTGAAGAACATCTGTGCGATCAAATTCAATATCAATACACATATTGTTAAAATAATTTCTCCAAAATTGTATGATAAGCGCTCTTAAAGTTCCCCCAAAACGCTTTATTCTTTGATTAGCAGTAGAACGAGAAACTATACACGATTATAATCCTCTATTTCGTCCTATCACAGTCAAAAATGCAGTTTGAATATCACGAACAATGACGTTTTCTGTCCCGGCATCCATACGAACGCAGGATGGAAATTTTCGAATCTCCTTTATGTAATCCAAAAAGAACCTTGCAATATATTTTGGGTTATTATTTGATGGCCCAGCTTTAAGCCATAATAATTTCCTTGAATGGCGATGTCGAAAGGTTTTAATTTATCATATCCGTCGATATGGATAAGGTAATTAGGTACACCCTCCTGCGTTATTTCCTGTGTGTTCGTAACATAACACCTTCGGGATCAATGACGCGTAGACACAGACGTACAGTCTCTTGTGTGACACGGATGCCATAATGAGCATTTAGTAATCTCCAAATCGTTCTGTATCCACTATTTGAATAACCATTATTTAGTAATTCACAAATTTGTTCCAAAATTCCCATAACATTTTCCTGGTTTCTCCATCTATGCAGCCGCATCCGTCTTAATGTCCGTTTCAACTTTGCATGACTTATTAGTATATGGTCGCATATATGTAAAAACCCGAGTATTTCGTAATAAGTGTACCCTAGTCTGAAGTAATGCCGATTAAAGATTCTAGAGAGGCGTCATCACCAGTACAAACTGATATCTGAAATAAAATTAAAATGTTAAGCTATTGTTCAATATTTAATTACTTTAAATGCATAAAACCCGGGAGCCGTGGTAGCTCAGCGGGTAAGGCGCTGGCTCGCTAAGCTTGAATGCCCGTGTTGGCCGAGAAAGTTCCTCTGGGGTTTTTTTTCACCGTGGTTCCCCTTGCCAGTGGTGCAGGACAGAGGGTCTGGCAAGAACAGTGTCTATTCGTTCAGATGGGACGAAAAAACGAGGTCCTGTGTATACGTTGACATGTGCGGAAAAGAACCCTTGACAGTTGGAATTCGATAAAAGAGTAGGCCGTAGCACCGCTGTCCGAGCAAAATTTTCCTCATAGCACACTGCATGGCATTTGTCCATCTTTTAATTCATTAGCACGTTAGGTTCAGAAAAGTAGGACGTTAAACCCTATTTCATTCATTCATTCATCAAAAGTTTGTGATCGAGTTTAACTGTTGGTGGTGGGATTCAAATGTATTTCGGATATTTTCAGCCCTCATAGTTAAATTACAGGAGTCTGTAAATATGGCTGAAACTAAGAAATAATGAACCCGAAACTCACCTGTAAAAGAGTGTAGCCTGTAAGAAACATTTTGTTGTTAATCAAACGACAATCACAGATAGAATGGCAGCTGTGGTTATTTGCGCTCAAATAAATAATATTGAGATGATATTAAGTAAAAAAGCGACATTATTTCTATAAAACATGACATGTCGATTTAGAGTCAAATCGGCTATTGACATTATGTAAACATATCAATATAGCTTTTGTCGACAAGAGTGGTGAATTTAATGCGCCAAGTCGACTTTATTAAGTCGATATGTTGTAATATAACTCATGAAGTTGACATATTTTAGTTCGATATGTTGCGATATTATCTCAATAAGTAGTGACCCAAATACGCTTCCATAGTTGGCTGTTAGCGGCCATTCAAATGAATCTAAATCGTCGCCTTGGGAAGAAGGCGACAAGTCGAGTAGTCGACAAAATCAACCCGCCAACACGACAAAATAACAAAATACAATTATTTGGACTTGTCGTGCGGCGACTTGTCACCTCGGAAGTCAAACTCGAGCTTGCGCATGTGCTGATTGGATAACTTGTATGCGCACAGATTAACTTCCGAGCCGACAAGTCACCGCACGACAAGTCGAAATAATTGTATTTTGTCGACTTGTCGGGTTGTGAATAAGTCGAAGGCGACAAGTCGACAAAATCAACCCGCCGACACGACTTGTCGGGTCAATTCTGTCGACTTGTCGCCTTCGACTTATTCACAATCCGACAAGGCAACAAGTCGACAAGTCGACGAAATCAACCCGCCAACACGACAAAATAACCCGACGATCGTCGCCTTCATTTCGTCGACATGTCGGGTCAATTCTGTCGACTTGTCGGGTCAATTCTGTCTACTTGTCGCCTTCGACTTATTCACAACCCGACAAGTCGACAAGTCGACAAAATACAATTATTTCGACTTGTCCTGCGGCAACTTGTCGCCTCGGAAGTCAAACTCGAGCTTGCGCATTTGCTGTTTGGATAACTTGCATGCGCACAGATTAACTTCCGAGGCGACAAGTCGCCGCACGACAAGTCGAAATAATTGTATTTTGTCGACTTTGTCGACAAGTCGACAGAATTGACCCGACAAGTCAACGAAATGAAGGCGACGATCGTCGGGTTATTTTGTCGCCTTTTTCATAAGGCGACGATTTAGATGACATTTGAATGGCCGCTAACAGCCATTAGATTTTCATGCGATTTTCTAGCATGCACCAATACGCCTCCATTATTTGAACGAAAACAAACACTTAAAAGCGGAAATACAGATTTAAATCTGGATTTGTTTTTCCTTTATTTACGATATCCTTTTCTGTATTGAATGAAATTTGAACGGTCACATTACAAAACGAAATAGCATCCGTGTTTTAATCCAAAGCAACTAATTTAGTAGTTTGATCTCAAACTAATGAGTCCGAGTGAAGGGATAGTAAATAAATCTTAGAATGGCTGTTGATTTATAACACCTAATTGAAATTACATATTGATTTTGTTTTCCAGATCGATTTTACTGGGATACATCGGATCCAACCAACATATCAGAGGGTCTGTTGGCTATTGCTAGCATCTTAAGCTTTGTCAGAATTAGTAAAATTTTTACAGTGTTTAAAAGTCTTGGAATTTTACAGATATCACTTCAAAGAATGTTAATGGTAAGATTTGATACATTCGTTTAAAGAGGCTATGCGTGGTCTTAGTGATATCACAATCCCTTGCAAACTACAATATTGCGAAAGTTGAATCTCGTAATAGGAGTATCAGTCCAAAAATAGTTAAATTATGTTCAGTGTATACAACGATACGACGTATTGAACATTCCATCGAGCTATGCTGTTCCCTATGCATGCAACGAGACCACAACCATTTCCGTGACGGAAATTGATGACCATGTTTTACATGTGATTGAATCCAGTAAGGGAGCTGATCCGGCGTAAATATTAGCGTGGATTCAGCCGCGGGGAATTTTATATTTTCCGATAAATGCAGATCACGCATCGTTACTTTAAGGCAACAAAGATTTAGTTCCTAAACTTTCTATTTTATTTATTTTTAAAAATAAAGGTTATTATTCTTATATTAAATGCCAGAATCAATTGAATAAAACCATCCATATTCACATTCCCTTTAAATTTCCAACCTCATGTGTTTTCTCCGGGTCCTCCGGTATTCTCCCACTGCTAAAGACCCCTACGCGCAAGCGAATTATTGAAATAAAATTAAACCATATGTTAGTCCGGAAATGACCTAGTTTGTGTCGAGTGGACGTTAAACCCCATTTCTCTCCCCCTCTCTCTCTCTCTCTCTCTCTCCCTTCAAATTAAATTCTTAGTGTTGCCTTCTTTATGGTTTGTGACAAAGTACTCTAGAACTTATTGACTCAGCTAGTTTTTGATAATATTGACTTTTCAACTCTATATACTTCTGTTTAGTCACCTTCTTATTAAATATGTAATTAATCCATTATGTCATTTACAAACTACATATGATCTGTGTACAAGCTCCGCATGACTTCAAGGGAATACGCACTGGTCGGTAATCATACCATGGCGTGATAAGAAGACAATTTCATATGATCATGAGTCTTATCTATTTTCTCTATATAAACAGGAGTATGTTGACAGAGACGATGGGGAATAAAAGGGGCTTGGACGAGTACATGGACTCACCCGAGGTCACCCACTGCCTTGGCAGAGGGGCGGAATGGTGGATTTAATATAGTTATGTACCGTCCTGATGTGTTCCAGGCGTAGTCTAGTTTCTGTTTAATATATGCCCCTGTGGTTGTATTATGTAGCTGTGTTATATTCTGTTCCAATGTAAATAAGCCCTATATGTACGAAACCGATCTCTGTTATCACTAAGATAGTGTTGTTGACGAAATTGTTGGTTAGGGTTTAGGGCTAGGTCCAGGGTTAGGGTTGTGGTTAACGCTAGCCCTGTTTACATCTCATGACCTTTGATTAAATCTGGAAGTCGCCTTAAGAAGTAGATCTAACCAAATACATACCCAAAACATTCGCCCTTACCGGATATTACATCACCACATACATTGTAATAATAGTTGTTTTTACAAAATAATAAACCAGAGAACCCTGTGTTTTATCTTGAGTGTCATCAAACATAAATGATGGCTTGAATGCCAAATAAAAGCAATACGTTTAAGAAATGCACAAACCTCCATAAAGAAATAAATGGGTCTACATTTGTTAATTGTTGCATTGTTTTGCCTCAGCCCTTCTAATAAATCAGATCGGCACTATGGCTACCATTAAGATGTAAACGACATTTTTCATTGGTTGATTGTTTTGTGGTGGTTGCTAATTACTTTCACCTGATTGGATGATTTTATGTAGTTGTTCTTTACAGTTCATTTAGATCCCAGTACTGCTGGGCCTGTTCATAAAACTATCGCTGTCCAATGAAAGAAAAATAACAATGTGACCTTTCGTTTATACACATGTTAAATGCATATTATGTTGTTTCACTGTGGAAAATACAAATTGTTAACAATTTTTTAAATTTTTTTTTAAATTTTAGGACATTGTTAGATTCACGAGTCTTTTCTTTTTCGTAATGTGGGCCTTTATCCTTGGTCTACACAACCTATTTCAGTACTACGATCATCCCGAAAATCTGGAGATTGAAAATAGGAACATGACAATTAATGCCAAACAAAGTTTTGGAACGTAAGTAGTTTGATAAATCATCATTGCTGCGCTATGCCCCTTAAGTACGAGGGTGGTTAGTTCCCTTTGTCGAAGTACTGAAGGCCAGTCAAATCGCACGCCAAAAGATGGCTTGTTCAACATCGAAGTGTTGTTTATGGATTATATACAATTATATAAAACACTACTATATATCTAACTAATTATATAAAACACTACTAGATATCTAATTAATGATATGAAGTACATGTTTAGGACAGGCAAATTCATCACACAGAATCCCATGTACTTTTCGTTAATGATAAAGGTTTTGTTACTTTCAGCATCATCGGGTTAACACTGTCCATGTATGTAAGTCTTGTAGGCTCACTCAGTCGGGCTCAAAGCAAATAGATAAAGCTTGGTGGTAGTTTCAAATGAAATACCAATTTCCAGTTGTCAGGTGGGGTTACCTATTGGCCAGTAATCACCTTATATCTTGTTATACTCGTCAAAAAGCGGCGTGACAACGTCCCTCTTTTTGTACCGGGAGTAATATCGTACTTTATAATTACCGCTTACCGCGCGCGCGAGAGAGAGAGATGGGGTTTAACGTCCACACGACACAAACTAGGTCATTTCGTGACTAACATGGTTTTTAATTTTATTTCAATAATTCGCTTGCTCGTAGGGGTCTTTAGCAGTGGGAGGAAACCGGAGGAGCCGGAGAAAATCCACGAGGTTGGACAGGCGACCCTACTCCTTGTCACGTACAACCGGGGATTCGAAACCACGCCAGTTGACTCAATGACCGGCTTTATGATCCAACGCGGCGCACGTACTAACCATTCGAACTAATGGCCTAATGATTTAACGCTTTAGATCTGTCATGGAGACATGTGGCGTGGTATCGATTCCCTGTTGATACGTGACAGGGAGTAGGGTCGTTTGTCCAACTCACTGGGTCCCCTGGTTTCTACAAACTGCTATATAATGACAATTACGCGCAAGATAATTATTGAAATAAAATTGGACCATATGGTAGTCCCGAAAAGACCTACTCTCTCTCTCTCTCTCTCTCTCTCTCTCTCTCTCTTTCTCTTTATCTAAATAAGAATAAGCCGTAGTAGCGGCGATATCCGGTTACGATATCACTCAACAAAGTAAGACATTAAACCTCATTTAATTTTTGGTTTCATGTTGGTGCAGCTAAGACCTATATATTCATCGATTTCGACAAAACGTTGATATCTCATCTTAAATTATCAAAAGTAAAAATAAAAACATTTCCGAAATAATGTGAAAGGAAATAGTTTAAAACGGGCCATAGGCGTACGAGCCAGGGGGGCAGGGGGGGGGCAGCTGCCCCCCTGACTTTCGGGCAAGCTGAATTTTCGGGCAGACGGGTAAAGTGAAAAAAAAAATTTTATTTCATCTATTTGGCAAAAATAAAGTTCCCGAAATCTAATAAAACACTAATTTTACGGGCTGGAATAGCACTAAAACGCACTTGCGATCGTCAAATATTCCAAAATTTTTTGGGGGGTCCATATAAGGTCAGCTCCGCTTCTTCGCCTCTCGAAGAAAACCGGCGCAGCTGTCTGTAATCCTGAAATTTTTCCGGGCATTTCTAGTTTTGCTTCCCTAACTGTCATCGATCCCTAATATAACACTAATTTTACTTTTCTTTAAATTGAATACAACGAATTTGAACTGAGTTGACTATGGATTAAAACATTTTGTCTAGAGCCACTCTTCTTTGTGCGACATTTTTCTGGCAACGATTATTATTTGTGAATGCAACTGCAACAGTCTGATTGGATGGTTGGAATTCAGAATGAGATTTTGGTTACAAAACCATTGTACTTTCACGGGCTAGAATAGCAGAAAACGCATTTGCGGTGGTTAAATTTTCAAAATTTTCTCTGGGAGGGTGAGGCCCCCATACCCCGCGACGATTGATTGGTTGTTTGGAATTCGGGTCAGCCAGGTAGGCTATATTGGACCGAATTGAAGTTGCTGTATTCACAGGCTGGAATAACAGGAAAACGCGTTTGCGGCAGTTAAATTTTCAAAAATTTTTCCCAACGGTTGATCTTTTGATTGGAATTCGAGTCAGCCATTGTAATTAGGCTATATTAGACCACATTGAAGTTGCTTGTTCACGGGCTGAAATAGCAGGAAAACGTGTATGCAGCCGTCAAATATTCCAAAATTTTCTTGGTGGGGGGGGAGGGCCGTACAAGGTAAGCTCCGCTTCTCGCCTCTCGAGGAAGACCGGCACCGAAATATTTTCGGGCATTTCATGGTTTTGCACCCCTAACTGTCATCGAGCCAGTACGCCTATGAAACGTGCATTGTGTAGAGCTAAAACTCCCTATTACGGGACTTTATAGTTTCAAATGTTACACAAATTATTGTTTATACATTTATTTACAAGGCAAGCTCATAATCAACTCTAAAAGCCACCAGGTGGATGGCTTAGATATTGATTGAATTAGAACACTTTCTCCATTTAATAATTTACGATGTTGGAGACTTTAGGGATTTTTGTATCGAACGATCGAGACTAACTTATCAAAAACCTCAAACACGCACAACATCGCGCAGAATAAAGTAATGTGAGTGAAATTTTCAATATATTTAATTTCCATTATCTATCCAGAACGAGCAACTATTTAACGAAACCTTACCTAATTCATCTATACGCATTTCCATATATATATATATATATAAATAGTGTATTTTTTTTACAGTTTAAAAGCGGGATTTACAACAGTATTTGGATCCTTATTTGGACGAGGTGAACCAGATGTTGTTCTATTAAATGAATATAATAATAATGTAACAGAAGAATTTGGTTTTATTATATATTGGGTTTATAACACAACATTTGTGATAGTTTTACTGAATATGTTGATCGCCATAATGACCAGATCATGTCAAAAAATAGCAGTAAGTGAGATACTTTTAATATATTTTGGAGCTGCAGTGACTAAGTGAGTAAAACGCTGGGTCGCTAACCAACCGGTATTGGCTGAGAATGTTCCTTGGAATTTTCGAGCTCGTGCTTCCCCTTGTCAATTGTGCAGAACGGGGTGGGGGGGGGGGGGCTGGCATGAACAGCGTCTAGTTGTGTGGATGGGATGGGAACCCGAGATCCCGTGTACATCTCCTGTCATCCCGCTGACGATCGGGTGACCTGGTTAATAGTAAAGTCTCGTAGCTTTTGAGCTATCTTTCTGCTCCAACGGGGCTAATGATCTGAAGGTGCATAATAAAATCTTTTATCGATTTCATACTGTCCAAGGTACTTTTACGGACACACCAATCCGAACGAAAAGGCACGTTTAATTGTCTTGTCCTCCTCTCTATACCACTGACATCGGAAATCCAAGCTGGGAAATCACGATGAACTTTTTCGGACAACACCTGACTCAACTCCGGACACCCATAGTTATTGAGCTACAGCGCCTTACTCACCGCGACACGTGCATTTTTGATGTCTCAGTTTAATTGGGGGGTTGGATGTATATTTGCAAACGATCTTATGTCTACTGTATAGATTAAAACCTAGGGTTTAAGCCGTGTGCTACATAGATCATAGGGTCTATCATTGAGTCAAGTAGCGAGGTTTCGATACCTCACTGGTACGTAACTAGGGCTAGGGTCGCCTGTCAAATCTTGGTGGTATTCTCCGGGTCCTCCGGTTTGCTCCCACGGCTAAATACCCTACGAAACTGAACCATGTTAGTCCGAAATGAACCAGTTTGTTTCGAGTAGGCGCTACCCCCCCCCCTCTCTCTCTCTCTCTCTCTCTCTCTCTCTCTCTCTCTCTCTCTCTCTCATTTTTAGATTAAAATCTTAAACAAATTTAAATCAATTTCAGGAAGACTCTGATGTAGAATGGATGTTTGCTAGGAGTGTGTTATTTATGGAATATATCGATAGTACGGATGTGTTACCAGCGCCTTTTAACATCATGTTCGCCCCTACAATGATTTTTAAATCTTTATATTATTTATGTTGCCACAGTTCAGATGAAGATGTAGCCACGGTCGAAGAGTCAGTGGGAACCGGGGTAAGTCTTATATTTTGGGAATATAGTGATAGATAGGTGTTTATATTGAAAGTCGATGTTTGGACCGAGATTTCTGTAGAACTGTGAAGCGGATAATCTGATGGTGGCTTATTGGCATCACGATGTGTGCTATAACCAAGATGTGTCTAGGATATGAAAATGACTATATTCCCCGAGACTACAACAGCTTTAGTTGATATCGGAGATTTAATAGGCATATTACTACTTTAGTGCATAGCCGCATCCAGAATGCTATAGAATTTATTAAAATTTGAACTAATAGAATCAAAATACCAAATGCACAAGAAACAAGATCTAGTGCACCATTGTTGTAAAAGGTCCACAAGGTCCACGCAGCTTTTGGTAATCATATCCCAGTACACGGGCCGTAATCCAAGACAATAAATATGCGTTCACACTGCATGCGCATTGGTTTTTCCCGGTTTAAAAGCGGTGCGTCATATTACAGTTTATTCGGATTGAATTCAGAATGAAAAGCGCCACACTGAATGCGCAGTGAAGGTCATTCATATCCATGATGGATGCACCAAATATTCGTATTGGTGATCTTATTTGGCTTATGTTTAATTTCCTGGGGCAAGCAAGGCTACATCAGCGACATCTTACATCTTCGACACCTTGCTATGCAGAGCCGGGCACGATTTCATTGACACCAAAATCAAATGAGGATGATTACTCTTTTGGTATCGTTTACACCAACATATGTACATGTACGCTCGTACTTCACTCTTGACTCTGTACTAGCGAACGTACATTTCATAATTGAAATGTTATGAATAGGGGTTAAACTTCCTACTGTTCTGGTCCCACTGGGCTTATAAAGACGGGCATAGACTGTTTTCCCAGGACAGCGGCGCTACGGCCTACGCTTTTATCGAATTCCAACTATCAAGGTTTTTTTTTACGTCCACGTCAATGTGTACACGGGAACTGTCTTTCGTTCCATCCGAACGACTAGACAGCTGTCCTTGTCAGGCTTTCCGCCCTGCAACACTGACATGGGGACGATGAACGTTTTCGGTCAACACCGGGAGCGAACCCTCGACCACCAGACTAGGGAGCTAGCTTCTTACTGGCTGAACCATCGTGGCTCCCATTATATAATTGAATTCCTCTTCAGCACTAAACATACTTAAAATACAGATGTGACGTCACCCTTTGATGTTGGCGTACCATTATTTCAAATAATCGTACGGGCAACTTGCCAATAGTACTTTATTCATACCAGTGAGATATTGGACTAGTGTGACGTAAAAACTCGTGCGGAGTGTCAGTATTTTAAGATGTTTAATTGTCTCGAGCTTACGACATTGCGTAATATATTGTTACAATATATTACTTAATGTCTCGCTCTCGACCATTAAACAATACATAATGTAAAGCAACACAAAATTAGATACAGATGTACATGTGATAATGTATTGCCAATTCAGCATAATTCTATAAGAATACGGAAAAGAGATTTTAAAACATATCAATTCTATAATGTAATATTAGTTTACATTAAATGTTAAATTTTAGTATGACGTGTTGATGGATATAAACGGATATAAGTAAATACATGATATGCGAAATGTCAGATAGATTAATTATAAAATTTAAGTATGTAACAGGTCATTTCGGGACTAACACATGGTTTAATTTTATTTCAATACTTTGCTTGTGCGTAGGGGTCTTTAGCAGTGCGGGGAAACCGGAGGACAAGGAGAAAACCCACGAGGTTTGACAGGCGACCTGTCACGTACAACTGGGGAATCGCAACTCCGCGAGTTGACTCGATGACAGACCTTATGATACAGCGCGCACGTGCTAACCATTCGGCCATCCACCCCCTCTGAAATGAATGAAAAGGGTTTTAATGTCTTTCTTCTTCTGTACCGACCGGGTGCATACGTCACAAATCGGCACTACGGCCTACTCTGATTTATTTTATGTGTTCGCCTATATTTAAAAAGGGACCTCAGTTTTTCTTACCTCCCGAACGAGTAGATACTGTTCCTTGTAAAGCCCACCGCCCGACAGCACTTACAAGGGGAAACCAGTTACATATTGTTCACTGACCTAGTCTATACGCCATGTATAGGAATAAATTGAAAAGTTAATAAATAATGAATAACTGTTTAACCGAGACTTCAGTAAAGGAAGGAGATGTTTAACATTTACGCATATGATATTTAAATACGTATCAAATTTACGAAACCTAGGATAATTCTTTTTTTCAAATTCGTACACGACCTGTTGCAGAAAAGTGGGACGTTTCAAATTCGGACTAGACGAATTACGACTTTAAGGTACACATCTATTTTTCAAGGAATTTTTATCGAAAGATTTGATTCCAATTCGGCTAGCTAGTTGTACGCTATACTCCCAGTTGTAGCTTGGAATTGAAATTCCCTGGATCTGTTCTATTTTAGCTAAGTAAATCCCTAGTATTCTAAGACAGAATTTAAGATGTAATAAATATTAAAAATAGTATCAAAGAGTTGCGCCAGAAGTTTTTTCTTAACTTTACGTAAAATGACAACTTGATTGAATTGAAATTCCCTTGAAACTGTTCTATTTAGCTAAGTAAATTCCCTAGTATTTAAAGTCGAAATAAAAATTTCGAAAATTATCCAAAAGTTTCGTCAAGTGTTAAATTTCTTAAATTTACGTAAAATGACAGTTTGAAATGTTGTAGGTCTAGCTTATAATTGCAAATTGCAATTTCTTCAATCAGTTCTATTTGAGCTAAGTAGTCACACTTTAAAGTCGAAATAACTATTACGAAACTTTTCCACCAAATTCGACAGATGTGTTTTTTTTTTCTCTCAACTTTAAGTAAAATGACAATTTGAAATGTTTATATAATAAGAATGGAGGCTAATGAAGTATACTACGGTCTTGTCAGAGGCGGATCCAAGGGGGGCGCGAGCCCCCCCCCCCCTAATTTCCGACAGTGCCCGTTTTTACTGCTGAAAGTTCCTTTTCTCAGGCCCAAATATGTCCGGTCCCAATCCGTTGCAGGGATCCCAAATGACTCAAACCATCGACTCAAACACACCAGTCTGGTCTAATTAATGCTTCCACTTTCAAACGAATTCTTGGTGTTTAGCTGACGGTGCCCTAATCCTATAGAGTGACATCAATTATTGCATCTTGTGGAATCGGCGGCGTATACACTCATGCCCATCACCGACGCACATGAGTGCAACTTGATGTAGCATTGTTTCATGTGTGGACAGTACACAGTACAACTTACATGGCTTAAATAGTGAAGTGGCTAGGGAATAGATTCGTCTTTTTTCCCATCATAATGCCTCGCTCCTAGGGGACTATTAAAATGGGTTCGTCCGTCCGTCTGTCTGTCTGTCTGTCTTTCCGTCTGTCTGTCCGTCACACTTTTTAGGACACAATAACTCTCTTTCTAATTGAACTAGAATCTTTAAAACTTGGTGTAGGTGTTTATTAGGTCGATGCCTTGATGGAGTTCGATAATGAGCATTTTCTGCTCAGGGTAAGCAGAGCGATAAGCAATTTGATTGGTCGAGACCTTGGAACACAGTAACTCTTCCTTCTAATTGAACTAGAATCTTCAAACTTGGTGTAGGTGTTTATTAGGTCAATGCCTTGGTGGAATTCGAAGATGAGCATTTCCTGCTTAGGGTAAGCAGAGATAAGCAATTTGATTGGTTAATGCTTTTGGACATGATAGCTTTAGTTCTAATTAAGTGAGAGTGATGAAACTTGGTGTATAGTTTCATTACATCAGTACCTTGACTACGTTTGATAATTAACATTTTCTGCTCAGGGTAAGCAGAGCGATAAGCAATTTGATTGGTCGAGACTTTGGAACACAATAACTATCATTCTAATTGAGTTAGAATGTTCACACCTGACATAGGCGTTCATTAGGTGAATGCCTTGATGGAGTTCTATGATGAACATTGTCTGCTTATGGTAAGCAGAAATAAGCAATCTGATTGGTTGATGCTTTGAGGCACGATAACTTTGGTTATAATGAAGTTAGAACGATGTAACTCCGAATATAGATTCATTATATCATTACCTTGACTAATTTCGATGGTGAGAATTTTCTGCTTAAGCTAATGAGCGATAAGCAATTTGATTGGTCAAGACTTTGGAACATAACAACTCTGCTTTTAATTGAGGTAGAATGTTTAGACTTGATGTAGATGTTCATTAGGTGAATGTCTTGACTGAGTTCAATGATTAACATTTCGAGCTGAAGCTTAAAGGGACTATCCCGATTTGAACAGAGCCTCAAAAATAAAAGCCCGAGTTTGTATGAAATTTAAGCCCCTAAATATAGAGGAATGGTGTATTGGCCTTGTCTCAAAATTTCAGCTCAAAACATTGAGTTGTTTGGACGTGAACGTCAAAAATGCTTATCCGGACACGCAACCCTTTTAAGATTTCTAGTCAATTTATTCGTTAGGTGACCTGATAATCTATCGCCGTTCCTTTAGAGGTCTATACAGTGAATGACCCATGTGCCGTACTGGATAACGAAACGTAAATTTCACCTACACATTGTTTTTATAAAATAAAATTCTGGTTTTATCCAGACACCGCATAATACAGCTTGGGACACCGGTCTCAATTTCCAGATGAAGACTGACGGGTGTAAGTTGTTTGAAAACATATCACAAATATTGAATTAGTTGCTCGGACGTTAGGTACGGGATTTTAAGGGGTTTTAACACAAAATTAAGCAGTTTTATTCTCCAAAATACTATCGGTTTTTGGCCCTTTAAGCAGAGCTAATCAATTTCATTGGTCAATACTTTGGGACATGATAATCTGGATTCTATCTGATAGAGAGTGATGAAACTTAGTGTATAGTTTGATTGCTTGCTACTTTTAAAAAAAATAAATAAATGTGCGATTGAACATACATTATGCAAGAGCAAAATCGGCCTATTGTAGGTCTTTCTGTAGGCCTGAAATGTTATAAAAACTATTAATTAGACATTAATTAACTTATCTAGACCATAATCAGCTCTCGATGTCAAGGCTTGCCTGCGATATTTGTTGGATTACAGTCCGATTTGCTGCAAAACTTCCCTTCGTGATTAACGATTAAATGGATAATCAAGACTATTATTTTTGTCTTATCGACTTCAGTAATGATGATCGAGGCTATATAAAGCGGAACTTTCATCCGCTTGGTTCTCGGTTCATAGTGGATCAATTTGACTGAAATTTTCAACAAGTTGCCTTTACATTATGTAGTTTTTAACTATTATAGGGGGAACTGCCAACTCGTTATCTAATCTCCCATAATGTATCTTTAATTAATGTGTGTTATCTATTTATTTTGGGATTTTGGCGGGGGACATCAGCCTCACTGCTGGCTTGTTCTTAACTGAATCGCTGCAATGCTCACTATTCTCCACGAATTTTTTTCTTTGCCGAATTGCCACGAATTTCGATTGATTTCGATTCGCCACTATGCGATTCGTGAAAGTCAGACATCAGGGCCGCTGTACGCGGTCGTCCCATTTCATTGATTATCTAACTATTTGAATGAAGTCGTTTGTATTGACTATGGACGCGGCCGAATATTGTAGAACGATTTTTAGTAGCCAATTATCAAATTGTAAATTCATCGTTTTTATCTGCGAATTTCTGCACGTATTGCCGCTTTTAGTACGAACGATGATTCGCGCGGAAAGTCGCAGTGATCAGAGGTCGCAGTATACATGACACAAAAGGTCACCAGGTCTATAGTTTTCCATAAAATAAATTCTGAAACATTAAATGAACTAACCATAACAGTAATGAATGCAGCTTTCAAAATTATAAAATGAAGTATCATTAAATAGCTTAGTCTGTAACACAATATCATCTTCAACATTGAAAATACGAATTATTTGTCAATTTAAATCAACATTGATGTTGTTATCTTACCGGGAAATATCCAATATTTAAGACAAAATAAACATTTTACCATTGATACACGAATCGTGTACCATAATGCGTTTCAATGCCATTTGTAACAAGGGACTCAAACGGTGACGCTACAAGTCATGTCAAATGGTGACGCTATATTCTTATCTGTTGAGCTTGCGCAATAAATACTATCGGTGTATGTCTAATCGAAGACTAATACATCCAGACGTTCAACAGAAAATGTGGGAGATATTCTAGGGCTACGTGTATTGAATAGCAAGTAGTTTATGAAGATGGTTGTATCCAATGAATTAATTAATAATTTCGTTATTTTTCTTCTTGCAGACAGCAAATCTAGCTGACGGCAGCTTCGCCATTGAGATGACAGAAACAAATGAATCAACATCGACCGAACGAAATTTTCCGACCACATCTTCAATAAACGAGGAGCCAGAGCTCGATGAACAAATAACTTATACGGTAAGTATATAACCATGTATTAAATCCTCGTACTGACAACATCTGGGATATCTCAAATTATTATAGAATATGCACATTTTGACCGTAGCCAGCTCCATAAACCCAGATATGTTGCGGATGTGAGTGGCATCCTTGGCCAGACAGATTCATGGATTTTCTCGTCGACGAGCAATCTCTTGTTCCACTCGTTAATTTATACCTTTTCTAGCAATTTACCCAACCTTTTCTCCGTGGCGTTAACCTTTCCTCCCCGGTGTAAACAATTTCTCCCCAGTGGAAACCTTTCCTCCGCGAAAGGGTATAAATTAACGAATGACACTGATAGGCCACTGTACCATGACCATCATTGTGTATGTTTACAACGCGGTTTGACCTGTAAACTTTTAACACAAAACGCACCCGTTACCAATATTTATATACTCTACTTTCTTGATAGCTTATAATTGGTAGCAAATATTTGTTTTCTACCTTGAGTATTTGAGGTGGCACAAAATAAGGCTATTCGCCGATGATACTTCACTTTTTACCATTATTCATAATGATCCTCGAAGTAGCGCGAACATAACTAAAGATCTGAATATTATCTCATCGTGGGTTAAACAGTTGTGTGTAACTTTTAACCCAAATAAAACTAAAAATATTCTTTTTACTAGAAAAAATACAATTTATCCAGACGTTGTCTTTGAAAATACAAAAGTTGAGAACGTAAATACTCATTGTCATTTGGGATTAACATTTCAGTCAAATCATATTTCAAATATACTATTCAAAAAAAGTAGGGGATATTTGATTTTTAAGTGTTATTAAAGTCACCTAATGAAACTGACGAAGAAACAAATGACAAAATGAAATGAAGTTCACATTCATCGATTTATTCCAAATGATCGTTAGACTAAGTAAGGCACAGACTGACCATTATAAGGGTAAAATGATACCCGGGGTCAAACAGCAAAGTTACCACAGCATCACAACCAAGTCAGTAACGGGTAAATCCTCCTCTGTTTGCCAAACAAGCATTGATCCGACGTGGCATACTCCTAATGAGACGTCTAAGGTCATTTTGGTCCAGATTGTCCCATTCCTGTTGCAACGCAGCAGCAAGTTCTTGGACATTGGCAGGACGTTGTTGACGTTGACGTAACCTCTGTCCAAGCATGTCCCAGACATGCTCGATGGGGGAGAGGTCGGGACTCAGTGCTGGCCAAGGTAATGTGGTGATGTTCTGTTGTTGGAGGTAACCTGTAACGATCCTGGCCCTGTGACATCTTGCGTTGTCATCCTGGAAGATGAAACGGCGGCCATGACGTCGTGCGAACGGCACAACATGGACTGCCAAGATGTTGACCCGGTAGTACTGGCCTGTAACACGCCCTGCAACAACATGTAAAGCCGTTCTTCCAGCAACAGTGATGCCTCCCCACACCATAACAGAACCACCCCCAAATCGATCATGTCTGATGACGTTAACGTCTTGGAAGCGCTCGTTTCGACGACGCCACACCCTCCTACGTCTGTCCAAAAAATCAACAGTGAACCTTGACTCATCTGAAAACATCACATTGCTCCAGCGTCGATTATCCCAGTGTTGATGATCCCTACACCAACGACGTCTTCCCTGAATGTGATGATCTCTCAAACAAGGGATCACGCGAGGACGTCGGGCGCGAAGGTGACCCCTATGCAGTCGATTCCGAATCGTCTGGCCACTCACTCTCACACCAGTGTCTGTTTGAAGACGAGCGCTGATCTGATTTGCTGTGATGACACGATTTCTCAAGGCCAAGGTACGGATAAATCGATCTTGGGCTTGAGTTGTCGCCCTTGGTCGACCTGAGCGTGGTCTGTCCTGTACAGATTGTGTATCACGGTATCTGGACCATAGCCTGCTTATGACAGACTGGATAACATTCATCGTCCGCGCCACAACCGCCTGTGTTGTGCCGATCTGTAGCATGCCAAGGGCACGTAACCTTTCATTTTGGGTAAGCCGACGCATATCAAAATTTGTTTTCTGGTCACTAAAACAATTAAACTGATGTTTCCACCCTGGAATTCAATGCCACAATGACTGTAACATTCAAAGTCAGAGTCGTGCAAATCTTGGGTTGGACCCCCATGATGATCCCAAGCATCACCTGCATTCCATGCGGTAGCTATTGGTGCGTTTGGGCGTCACATGTAACTGGAAATGTTTCTTCTGTTAGGTTCTATAGTGACTTTTTTCGTAGTCATTTGCATATTTTAGTATTATGCCCCCAAAATCAAATATCCCCTACTTTTTTTGAATAGTATATATACCAAAAACCTTGCGGTCGTCTAAATAATTTGCGTATACTGAAATATAAAATTAATAGAAATTCACTTAAAGATACATTATGGGAGATAAGATAAAGAGCTGACAGTTCTCTCTATAATATATAGTTAAAAACTAGATAAATTGATCCACTATGAGTATGAACCGAGAATTAAGTGATTGAAGTTTCGGCCTACCCTCGATCATCATTACTAAAGTCTGTACGATAAAAACATAGTCTCGATCATCCATTTCATGATTAAAATATGAATGGAAGCCGAGCAGTAGGATCATAATCCAGTAAACATCGCAGGCTAGCGATGTCATCGAGAGTTGATTATGGTCTGGATAAGGTAATAATTTAGATTACATTTCAGGCCTAAAGAAAGACCTGAAATTGGCAGATTTGACTTCATAATTCAATTATTTTGTAATTAAATAAAAAAAAATTTCATTAATTTTTTTTCAAATAATATTTTTTTTTTTCAAATAATTTTATATTTTTCAAATAATAATTTTTTTTTTCATTAATTTTTTTTTTTTTCATTAATTATTTTTTTTTCATTAATTAATTTTTTTTTCAAATATTTTTTTCAAATATTTTTTTTTTCAATATTTCTTTTTTAATTAATTTTTTTTTCATTAATTAATTTTTTTTTTTCACATATTTTTTTTTTCAATACTTTTTTCATTTTTTTTTTTTTGAATTTTAAATTTCATTAACGTATTAATTAATACGTTAATTAGCATACTAATTGTGTATATTAATTGAGGTTAATTAAACCCGCATACCTATAAACTGTACGTCGTTAAGGTATTAGAAATGTCTTAAAATGATAATTGTAGTCATTATCGTATTAATTAATATGTTAATTAACATATTAATTGTTTTAAATTAATTTAGGTTAGTGAAACCCTAACGTACTTTAATGTGATTATTTCTTTAAAACTAGGTTAATATTACATTATGTGTTTAACAGATGTTTTTCGGGATAGTAGGTGAACTTTTGACCGATATTCTAAAAAATGCTATGGACCTATTTAAATACGTCATTAACATCTGTATTGCTTCTATCCATTTAGATTTTTCATTCATTATCTCTTTTTTTCAATAAGTGTTTTTTTTTTTAAATTATTTTGATTTTATTTTAACTTGGTGAAATCATTTACCGATTATTTGTAAGCATTGTTTTTAATTTGATGGAAAGTTTGAATTTGAGTGAAAGGTTTTAATAAAATGTGGTGGTATGATAAGTCTGTTTCAATATTTGAATTATGAAAATAATATGACCAAGTTTCCATGACCGAAATATGTTCTTTATATAAATGGGTTTTATTTTCGTTACACAGTTTTTAGATATGTTTTTTATATTATAACGGTGGTCACTGTTATCTTGCATGGAGTTATGATATGTTTTAGCTATCAAATATCAGCACACATGTTTATAATCATACCATGTAATTTAATATCTTTGAGAACTAAAGAAAATGTCTTCTGCAAAGGAAATTTGGTGACTATTTTTAATTAACACCAGTCTTTTAGTTGTGACATATGTTTTAATCATCAAATTAAAAGTCAAGCCCCTTTGAAGTCAAATGATTTTCTTGAGAACCAAAGAATATGTCTTTGGCAAAGGAAAGTTTGGCATGGGTTTTATAACCAGCGTCTTAGCTGCGTCAGATGGTTTAGCCATCAAATTAAAAGGCAACACCACTTTGGAGTCATCTCATATTCTGGAGAATTGAAGAATGTGTCTTTTGCGTGGAAAAGTTTGACAGGTGTTTTTATTACCAGTGGGTTAGCTGTGCCAGATGTTTTAAAATATTTTCAAAGTATTTTTTTTTTTTTTTTTTTTTTTTGACAAAATATTTTGGACAAAGAACATTTGATTTTCTAAAAGTAAATCCAACTTAATGAATACTCACACCCACCCACCCACACACACACACACACACACACACACACACACACCCCCACACGCACACCCACCATCAAACACATACACACACACCAATCAACCAAAAAATACAGCCTCACCAACATTCACCCACCTCGCAGTGCACATATTCACACATGCAGAATATTAACGTTAACATGCAGAATATTAACTAATATAAGCTGCGTTGAATTAACAAGTAAATTGTTAATTAATCTATTCTTACACACAAAATAGTCTGAATTTTAATGTATTGATATCTTTAAAAGGTGCTTGCGTATGCAATCGTTTACGTCCCGAGATACTATAGATTTACATTGTTTCAAGAACCAGAGAGTGTACATGAAGTAACACCTGGGCAGAACCTGCGGTTGAACTTGTTAAATGCAAAAATAGACTCGATCGTAAACGAACACAAGCTTAAAATGCATATTCTTCGCCAACAAGTCAACGATGAAAACAAAATAACCACATAAAAAACCCCAAAGATTTAAGCTATATCGGAATTATTGGTTTTGATAATTACCACTGTTGTCTCATAAGTGTCTAAGTGGTTTGACTTTATTAAAAACACCCACGTCATAATGGTCAATAGTGTTAAAATATAGAAACGTATTTTAAAATCATCTCATTTACAAAAAAAAGACAATTGTTGATAGACCTTTCGTGTAAATGAATAAAATGATCTAGATTTAATGATATTTTCATAAATATGAATTTTCTATCACAAATTACTATGAGAAATACTCCAAATTCAGATATTTCATGTA